CGCATGGCACTAGTAGGGGCTGCAGACAGACTCAGCAAAAGCCAACTAATGCGTGCGTATTATGAGGTTTACAGACAGAGAACTCTGAGATGGTTTTACATGTGGTTCGGTTCGGTTCTCGAGCCCTGTTTTCCACAACTGCAGCTTGCGCAACCTGCACAGAAAAAAACTCTCGAATGTTGTCATTTTGTGGGAACTGAAGTGAGGGTAGGCAGCAGCGATAAACCACCACTGATAGCTTTCATGGGACAGAGATAACCGGTGATTCAAATATACTCTACGTCCGTCTTCTCGCTAGTTTAGTTCTACGATAATAAATCTACTTACGATTAATTCAGACGCTGTGGGGATGGTAATATGAAACTCCACCAAAAAACCGCACATACAAATCTGGTGACAATATTTTTAATCTCGTTTTGTTGTGTTGACAGCTGGGAAAAAAGATGAATCAATTCACCAGAGTCGTTTCTGCAGATAACTATGTACGAGCGGGTACAGTCTGTAACACAACCAGTTATGACGACAATTTGAAGCATTTTTTCCCGGGTATGAATTGAAAACAAGCATGTACAGCAGAATTTATTGGCCCCAATGACGACAATTATTAGCAAGCGCCATTTGCACTCCTGCGCTTTATTACACACACTAGAGGCTTATTTAGTATCACACTGACGTTTTCAGTAGAACCTCAGCAAACAAACTGTATGGGGCCCGATATCGTCTCCAACAGCACACACTAACGAATGAACGTGTAAACTCGCGTCTTTATTATAACAAAATACCTACTAATTTGATTTTAGCAGGCATGTTATATTGGGATTACGTCCCTGGCTAGGCTTAAAAGTTTCCCGCCCGCTCAAACGTCCTGGCAGCTCATCGGAGTATGGCAGAAATGCGATTTTTCGCTATGTTTTCCGCAGATTCCGTTACTTGTCGCATTCATCAGTCCTACTGAGAAAAACGAATATTACCATCCTTCCCACATTACCAGAGACCCTGGGTTCTATTTCTCAATGGCCTTGTATCCAATTCTTGTCCAGGACGGTTCAAAGTTACAAAAAATGCAAAGAAATGAGCATACTGAGAAATCCTGGTGGATCTATGGGTACTTCCGCAGCTTACTAAATTAGTAGCGTTCACATACATACACTTGAAAGAGACATATAACAACAGACAGAATTCGCAGTCTTCAGTCAGTCATAGCTCTAAATCAAGGAGGCCGGAGTTGGGATGTAAATCTGAATTAGTCGTCCCGGTGCGAATTGAGGCCTATCGCCTTGACAGTCGTGGTCACGTGAACGCACAAAAAACAGATGCTAGACAGAGCCTTCAGTCCTACGTTGACAATGACTAGTTTCATCAGGCATTACTTAACTCCAAAGTAGTTTAAAAATGCCAAATTGATGACACCACAGGCCCTGGTACAAACTAAAAGTTCAATAAAATTTCAAACTGACCTTAAAGCACTCCAGCCAATAGGCCCTTGCTTTGGTGTCCTGGGTAAGATCCCAGGTGTCCGGCACGTAATCTGCCGGTGAGAGGAGGAGGGGAAACGCACTCAGCGATACCCCGACCAAATGTTCCAGCTCGAAAGCTGACCATTCAGTCGAAAAATCGAGCGTCCGAGGGGTTGATTCCAGGCTGAACCGTGGCCCACGATTTGCCAGTCTTTCCGCATTACTGTCATCCTCCTGAACGTCGGCCACTGTTTCAGACTCTGTGGTGTTAGTGGCCGCATCGTAGGCTGTGTTGTTAGAGAACATGCCGCTGGGGTTCCGGGTCTGACCGCCTGAAGAAGAGCGCGATGGACCAGTGTGGACAGACCGACGGCCACTGCCGGGTGCCGAAAAGGACGGAGCACCGGCAACCTTGCTTTCGGACCAACTGGTTGAAGAGCCTGCCAATGAGTTGCCCTGCGTTCTGTCCTTCATGAAGGCGCCCACTGCACCCAGATATCCCTCGTGACGCAGAAACATTGCCTTCATTTTGCCCTGTGACCAGTAGCGCACGGCAAAGGAAATGACCTAGAACGAGGAAAGATCAAACCTGCTACTGGTTGAGAAGTAAACAATGACAATGAAGTTAACTGGCTACATTAGGTGAGCGAGTTGCAATCAGCTGGAAACAGGTAACAAATTACGGATTTGGCTCACTCAAAGGGAAATTTCTAATAAGAACGAAAGGGTACAGTAGAGGTGTGAGGATCCGGAAACCAGTATGCAGAGATGGCAATGAAGAGGAGGATAAAAGTAAACAGGACTGGCTGCTTAAGAAAGCTCACATGCACACTTCCAAAACCAAAGGCATAATTCTTTATTCTGGTAAAAAATAGGGGTGCAGCCCCAAAATAGTTCGTTTGTCATAACTGACGATGGCTTTGTGGTTTGACGAAATGAGTAGAGATTTTCGTGGATCGTCTTGACGGAGATGCAACGTCTTTGAATGGAGTTTCTCTAGCCTTCAGTGTGCGTTGAAAGTACGGTTAGATTAGAATAGCATCGCTGTAAGTGGGCGGAAGACAGCGTGTATGGATGAAGAGTCTAGCTAGACATAAAGCAGGAATGGAAGTGGAGCTAAGGCAGATGATGAAGCCTAGATGAATCGGGGTTTCGCACGTAGTACCTTGAACGGTTCATTAATCTCGTTCCACACTGGAATTTAAGGCGCCACGGAGGTACACAAAGAGGAGTGATTTATTGTTGGGTCAGGTTCTGCGGTCCAAAGTCACGTTAGTTCAGAAATTGGAGCGCTTCGGACAGTGGCAGTAGTATTGGTTAGGAAGATATGCCTTGATGTGACGAGATGAACAAAGGGATATTAAGTGTCCGAGGCACGACTTCTTAGAGTGAGGCCCGAAGTTTCAATGACAATTTGAGTCTAAGATAATAACCCACAATGGAATAACCATGTAATACCCAGAAGGCTCAAGTATTCATTAAACTTCCGGGTAGGAACCTAAACGTTTACGCTCTGGATACCTAACTCTACGTTCTGGCTTAATAAGTTCATAAATTATGAACTTGATATTTTTCAGGAGTTCAAGTCCCAGGAACTGCATACAGGACGCCGGGGGATCATCTGAGGAGTCGAGGAGCTCAAAGCTGAGTCATACAGTAGCCGAAATTTTAGCAAAACGCGTATTCGGCTTTTACCGAGAACCTGTGTCGGGAGTATGATAAAACCATAACGAAATGAAAACTATGCGTGTTTTAGAATGGACACTACGCGGTTAGTCCTTGCAAGCGCGAAATCAGAAGATACGACTTACTAATAAATGAATATCCTGTGCAGCCCTTATAGGGGGCAGGCTTAAATCTATATTGGCAGAGAATATCGCCTGAAAATACAGGCTACTTAAGTATTGGTCTTTTGGGAAAAATTCGCGAAGATGAATTGGCTTGTGACTATATTCCACAGTAATCAGTTCTGCGACCTCATCGAAGTCGTTTTTATCATAGTAACGGCTTTCTGCCAGCCAGATGTGTATTTCTTTGTCTCCATTTTATTAAGAGCATATGTCCTCTCTGCAAAACGTGGTGTCAAGAGCCAAATTTCGTGCAATAAAGCAGTACCGGAGCAACCTTGTTTACCATTTCGCGGGTTGCCCTCACGTGTCGGATAAAGTGCGCAATTTGACTTTAAAATGTCGTCAAGATATCTATGGAAAGAGTACCGAGAAAGGGCCAGAAGAGTTTTCACATTCCGCCCGTTGGTTTGTGTAAACAACCCGGTCTGCCTGCTGTCAACTTCAGTGAAATAAATGTCAGTAGACTTTTTTAACGTTTCGACGGGTTCTCTCACCTGTACATCGAGGCGACAGCCAGCCTTAGTGTACATAAACAGACTTCACAGACTAAGAGGAATTAATGCAGCGACTTCCGATGACTATTAGACGGAAAAAAGCATTAAGTTTTGCCCTTGAGCCTTCGTGAGGGTCAGTACCCCGGTGGGGGGGGGGGAGGGAGAGAGAGCGGGTATCACACACAAATCTGAAAACCATTAACTTGTTTAATGTAAACATACACTCCAA